TGCAGAGTTACGTCAAATTTCACGTGTTCGTACGTGAATGGCAACGTGAATGCTTTCTTCGCCCGCGATTTCTCAAAAAATTCCTGGGTGAGGCTCAAAAAGTTTCAGCACCCCAGCTGCTCTGGTTGCAGAGTTACGTCAAATTTCACGTGTTCGCACGTGAGTGGCAAAGTGAGTGCCTTCTTCTCCCGCGGTTGGTCAAACACGGCCCTGGGTAACGCTCAGATAGTTTCAGCACTCCAACTGCTCTGGGTGCGGAGTTATGCCAAATTTCAGTGTGTGCACGTGAAACGCACGTGAGACGTGAAAGTGATGTGTAAGTCATTTTTGCGTGCATTTGGTCAGAGGCCACCATCGGTTATGCTCAGAAAGTTCAGGGCCGCTGGCTGGTTCAATTCTAAAGTTACAAAAGCGCATGCGTGAAATTTTCACGTGTTCATACGTGAGATGCAGAAGAGCTGACAAGTAATTTACTTTCACGGGCACAACAGTGGGCGACAGGCGACGCTGCAGAATTGCAGCTCCCTGCAGCTTATTGATCACCTCAGATCTGATGCTGGCATGATGCCATTTTAGACCTTGACGTGTGCGTACATGAGTCCTGAGAGTGCGTGAAGGCTGAGTTTGAAGTCTTTGGATTAGAAGCGGCCAAAGAACAGCTCTGTGTAGTTCCAGCCTACTAGCTTGAGCCGTTCCCGAAAACGCTTTCCCGCCAAAAAAACTTCCACGTGCCCCTACGTGAGAACCACGCGGAACTGGGCGCCCATTCTGAGTACTCGAGCCCGCAAGTATGTGCAAATTAAGTCATCAAATTTCCAGCCTTGTAGCTTTTGTGGATCTCGAGATGAAAACTCGCTACAGACGCACACACATACACACACATACGTACATACATTACAAACACACACACACTCATTGTGTATCTGCAAAGAACGCGTAAAAACGCATAACCATACTGCACGTCTTTGCAAGTCGACTGCAAACCTGCCCATTGTTTACCACACGTGGCGCCGCGTGGCACCACTTTGGTGTTTGCCGGACGTTTCGAAATTTTTGTTCATCGCTTACCAAAATATTCTTTACTGCGATGATGTTTTTTTAGTTGGTGTATGTGGAGGAACTCTGCGCTGCTTTCTCCGCGTCCCCAAATGTCTCATGAATTTTTCTCAGCGTCCTCGTATCCACCCGAGATGTGCTAGAGGTTTTTACGGTAGGCAAGTTGGAGGACGGATGTTTTTTGTTGCCCCAAACTCCTCAGTTGTTTAAGGATTTTCACCCATTCTTTACTGCCACAATGCGTGAAAGGTTCTTCTGGGCGGCGTACGGCAAAATCTGGCGCATTTCGCACCCATGGGCAATTGCTTTCCGTTGTGTGATTTTACACTGCTACTTTGATAAGCTGTTTTTTTCGTAATTCATGCAGAGGGGTTACTCGAATGCTCCTGAACGCGATTTTTTCAAGTTCGCTAGGTGAAGGAGATGCTTGTGAATTTTGCCAGGAGATTATCCTTGTGACTTGGTCAGATCGAGGAGGCCTTTTTTTCGGGGCCTTCGACAAATTTCGCTGCCATCCTCGTTCCCATTCCAATTCATTGTATGTTATGGTGCTACGACAAAGCCATCAATTGACAATAGGAGAGGGGTCGCAAGGGTTCCCGAAGCGAACAAGCGTGGGTAAGACGTTTCGGTTCTTTGAGTTGTAAACGTATACTGTTCTCGGTGTGTATCTCTGTGTAGTGTAATTTCGGGGTATGTCTGTTTTAGTCGTTGCATTCGATTTCAGCATGTCTGCTTGCACTCTGCGCCCAGTATGTGAGCTGTGATGTCTCATATGCTCGATGATGACCTGCGCACACTTAGTGCCACCCAACTTCGTTAGTTTCATCCTGTTCTTTCATTGCACTTATTTTTTTAGTGCTACGTGCATCTGCTCTTTTTATGTCTGCATGTATACTTTAACGGCCTGGGTCAGACTTGTATGCGTGTTCTTGGGAGTGCACATATGTGTAGCCGACACATAGTTATAAATGTATTTATTTTATAGTTATATACAAACAAATATCGTGA